CATGTCTGCCTCACTGACTGAATGACTGAACACCACACACTCGCTCAGTTTATGTTTATTCTCAATTTGATTCTCCTACTCCACCTCCTTATCCCCCTCCCCCCCGGCAATATTGAAATTAGAAATCGTTTGCTTTAAAAGGTCACTCAACGACGCCACTCATCATCGCTGCTGCTGCTACGGCCGTCGTCACTGACGCCTTACGCTCAGCGTGAAGTGTTCCAAGCATAAGTGCTTACCACGGGTGTGTTCGAATGTTTGTTTGTTTGCCTGCTTGCCCCTGTTTTAATGAGGTTTCAAACAAATCACCATCAGTCAAGCAGCTCGCCCAGCCGTCTTGCTTGCCATACGCCCACCCCATTCTGCCACAAACATTTATGCTCTGCCGCCGAGCTATACGCTATACGCTTGGCTGAATGACCACCCGCAAAAAAAAAAGACTACAGCAATTTAAATGAACTGTAATTGAATAAAATCCAAATCCAAACGAATCGCAGCGAAGTGAAGAGGTAAAAAAACTCAAATAAATTTGATTTAATATTGAACACGGGGATGGATGATTGTGTCAATAACATCGACATGAAATTAATGAACGAACACACATGAGAACACATTTCGAAAAAATAAAAACGTTTTACGAAATGTTGTAGACTTGTCTTGACCGATCAGCAGCAGCGGCAGCTCTCGGTATGACTGGCTGACTGACTGCATTTGATGGCTGATTTCTGTTTGCTTGACTGGCGTTGTTCGATGTCGTCTATTAATAAATTGTACATTGACGCACCCTGTACTTGTTTGTGGTTGTGGCAAATTTTTTTTGTTTATTCTACTTAATTAGAGATATAGATTAGCTTGGCAACAGAGAAAGGTTCCAAGTGACACTGGCTTACAGCTGTTTACTGTCACTAATTGGGATCTAGAATTTATTTGGTATTTATTGGAAAGAATTCGACAGAATACCAGATACCGCTTTGAAAAAGAGGAGAGAGGTTATTTTTAAATTCCTGGCTGTGTTATTGAATCACTTACTGAACCTTCGTTATTTTTCCAGGGCATTCAAAGGAGTCCCCATATATAATAGAGATTCATTTATTATACAATCCTTCAGTAGTTATAGACCGGTATTAATCCAATCCACCAGTAAAGATAGGCTAAATGATGTGTAGCTACAATTAAACTTGTAAGTAACTCACTCCGGGGCCTTTCGATCCATTGAGATTATCCTGCAAGGAGGAAGACGAGATTTCAAGTTGATAGAATTATATATAAAAGTTGATAGAATTAAGTTGATAGAATTAGAAAAAATAATTGGAACTGCATCGAAAAGAGTCATATGTAACTTCGGCGCCAGAGTCAATATAGCCTTTTTTGCGATGAGGGATCTAGTACTGAGAAATTATCATCTAGTAGGCTCCAACACATAAAAGGGTTTTCGTCGCCCTGGTTGTGTAGATAGTTCAATAGGAGAGGTTATTTTTAAATTTCTCTGTCTGAATCTGGAATATTTTCCCAGAGCATGGAAATAGGATATGTTAGTTAGTTTTCTCACATAAAAGAGATTTGTCTGCGGGACAATGCAGCCCTTAAATCGGGTACCTTCACTGCGGGGAAAGAAAGAAAAGTGTAAGGAAAGAATGCGAGATTTAAAGTTGGGAAAGGCATCGAAAAGAGCCTTGCGTTGCTCCAGCGCCAGAGCCAATATTACCTTTTGCAAGGTCATATATAATGATGGAAAGGTGGAACGAAAGAATGCAAGATTTAAGGTTGGGAAAGGCATCGAAAAGAGCCATGTGTTACTCCGGCGCGAGAGCCGATATATCTGCTTTTGTGAGGTCATGGGATCTGAGTCTGAATACACATTAAAATCATGAGTCTCCAGATAAAGCAGACCTGTGGCATTATAGGTGTTCAATTGTTTCAATACCTTCCTCATCCTCGCGCAGCCTCCAATATTTGGCATTAGCGTTGTCCCACTTAGACTTTCATTATCTGTTATTGTAAATATTTGTTAATATCCCCACTAGTTATCCGTAATGTTGATTCGCTCCTGCTTAGTAGAGATTGTATTCTGTGCGGGGAACATATGGTAAAATTAGTTTTGATGTCTTGCCTCGTGGTTCGTTGTAAAGGCTCACTTTGAATTTTTCTCTAAAAAATTGTTCTGAGGTTCTGTTCGGATGTCTTAATGTCTAATTATCGCAAGCCCATTCTAGATAGTTCATCGACTTTCTCATTTCCTTCAAAATTACAATGAACAGGTACTCAGCAGAGCCGGAGAGTAGTGTACAGTACAGTGTACAGAGCCAATCTATACTTCAGGACGGCATCAGATTTGGTTGTGGAGGAGTCAATAACCTTAAGAACCTTAAGTTACGTCAGTTTTTGGAAATTGGAATTGGAAACATTGTGAAAATGCAGGAAAGTATAAAATGCTATAAGAATTTTGACTTTAAAGTCCACATAGGCTTTATCCAAGAAAAAGGTAAAGAGAGCTTTTCGAGACCAAGGGCCAACGAAGATGCGCGACGCGCCAACTTCTGAAGTTAGTTTCCAAGTTTGGTTTGGTATATCGTCCAGCCAGTTAGAGAGGGTTCGAAAGTGGAACCATAGTGTACTGATTTTATGTCTAGGCCTGAGAGAACTTATACTTTGTCAGGTAGGAACTATGCGGCGGTGCTCTTTAATAGGACGGGTGATGCAAGAACAGACAGGGTCCTGGTCTTAAAAGAACTGAAACTTACACAGATTTAAAGGAGATATCGTTAAGGACGCTCTATATGGCATTCTGGATTGCAGGCAAAAAGTTACCTACATCCAGTTGACTGAACAACACTGTTGGTTGTTGTACATTGATGGTGAGCCATGTTTCTACAATTCAACAGATGACTAGTGCTTTATTAACATTAAAAGATATACCATAACATTAGGCGTCCCACAAGGTTCCCTTTTCTATGAAACCTGATGTATGACGATTTACTAAGCAATTACCGCGAATGATAGTCTGGCGAGGATCTCAAGACGGCTTACATCAAAACAGCTGGAACTTGCTGCAGCGAAGACTGGTGAATAGACATGAAAAGATAATAAATATCTAGGATTGATCCTTGTTAACAGATTATCTTTCAAGTCGCATGCCAAAGCCGTAACCATGGTAGAACTAAGAAGGTTAAGCCATGCAATCATATGTTCAATTTTTTTTTTCAATTTCACAAATATATATACAAATCAGAGATGGCACCTGTTTTCTTTGTAGTGAAATTTGTCAAGGTAAATTATAGAAAATGCAGATTATTGATTATTTGAATTGACATTACCTTCTTAATTTTACCATGGCCGTAACAGACAAAGCTCTAGAAACTGCAAACATAGTGTATAGAATAATGCCTAATTTAAAAGGCCCAAACCAATCCATCAGAAGATTAATCACCTCAGTAGCGTATGTACAAACCATGTACGCGTCTCCTATTACAAGCAATGATATCGGAAAAAGCAAAAAACTTTGCAGACTTCTAGAGAGAAATCATCGAGTATGCACACTAGAGGTTCCAACACATCAACAGAGGTACTTTCCATACTTTCAGGAATACCGCCGAAGCTTAGAAGAGAGAAAATACACATTCGAGCAGCAAAGATCTCTACCAATGGGATACTCGAGAAATGAGCTGAGCGAAATTAAAAAACGATGGAGGAACATGTTGCTAGAGCAATTTAAAAAGCCCAAACCAATCCATCAGAAGATTAATCGCCTCAGTAGCGTATGCACAAACCATGTACGCGGCTCCTATTATAAGCAATAATATAGGAAAAAAGCAAAAAACTTTGCAGAATTCTTGAGATCATCGAGTATGCACACTAAGGGTTCCAAGACATCAACAGAGGTACTATCCATACTTTCAGGAATACCGCTTAGAAGCTTAGAAGAGAGAAAATACACATATGAGCAGCGAAGATCTCTACCAATGTGATACTCGAGAAATGAGCTTAGCGAAATTAAAAAACGATGGAGGAACATATTGCTGTAGGAACATCTTGCTAGAATGACAGGTTTCATGGAATAACTCTGTAAAGGGCAGATGGACTCATAGACTTATACCATATATATAAAGCCTTGGTTAAACCGAAATCATGGAGATCTAGATTTCTATCTCAGTCAAGTTTATTAAAAAAAATTCCCGACAAGGGATTCGGTAATTATCTTCTATATCTGCGCATCACATCTCACTTCATGTAGACTAGAATTAAATCTAGAGCTAAATATTTTGTTCAGATGATTATACAAAATATAAAGATAGTGTAGTCTCCTGTAAATATTCTCTAATTTTATTTCGCCTCATTTTTTATTTAAAGTTAGATGCCTCCAACGTCCAAAATTGACCCACTTTGCTGCAATTCCCCAGTTAACACCACTGCACTCCTTACAACAATTTAGGCCATTGGAGGAAAGTTGCCAACAATTTCATTAATTATTTTTGTTGTTAACACAAATTTCGAAAAAAAACCTCCTCATTTCAAATATTTGAAATGAATTACAATAATTGAGCGAATTGAACCAATTTCCTTGAGTAAATTTACAACGAAAGGTTGAAATGGGTCGCGGAGATAGGCAAACTTACATAATTTCCTTTCTTCTTTTTTTTCCTACTTCCACTAAAAATCTGGGAAGGATGGCTGATCCCGCACGTAGTTTACAGATGATTGCTTGGTGGCAAAGTAAGTCATAGTAAATTGATTTAAGGGTACGTGATCGATTAGGGAATAACGAAGAGATGCAACACTGCATTTCTGCAACATTGTGGCAAAGGGCTGGCCTGAAACTCTTTCCAGGCTACTTTTACTTTTCCCACACCAAGGTGGTGGCGACGAAATGTAGTTAGATTCCTATAAATATGCAATCTAGAAATAGATCAGGCATCAGTTTTGTTTCGAAGGTTTCAGGTGTCAGACATCGCATTTTTATTCTTTTCGCTTGCCGAGAAATACCATATCCTTTGTTCGAAGAAATGGCAAAATCCTTGGTATGAAAAGTGGTTCAAATAAAAATCTGGTTCATTTTTTGATACCTGATTTCATTTCCTTAGATTTTTATAACTTTGATTGCCTACTTTGGCCACTCAATTTTGGCTGAGACTGGAGTTGCATCTCCCTTAAAAACCTTGGCAAAGACCACTTCCGAATCCAGCAAAAATGTGCCAAAACGTAGTCTAGATGCCTTCTTAGGCGATGCGGGAATCAATGGCTTGCCGGCTGCAGGTGGTGGTTGGTCTTCGGGAGGTTTTAAGTTGGCCGGTTTCTCCGGTGGTTGGAATCCTTGGAATTCTCAGTAAGTTGGCTGCTCCATCAGTACCTTAAAATAAAAAAGGAATATAAATTTAAATCTTCACCCATTATACTCAGCTCATCCCGCTACATCTCCTCACCATCGCCCAGTGAGGTTGCCAATGCCATTGCTGCCGCCAAACAGGCTTCCAGCAATGTTTTAATTGCTCAACAACAAATGCAGGCGGCCAAAGAGAATGTCCTCAACCAACAACGTATGGCCATGGAAAAGGAGGCAGCTGCCGCTTTACTTACCCAAAAATCCGAGGCAGCTGCTGCCATACAACGCTCTGAGGCTGCTGCTGCAGCTCAGGCAGTGGTGCTGGCCCAACAACGTTTGGCTGCAACCAAAGCTGCCGTGGCCCATCAGCAACGCATTGCTGCTGCCCGTGAAGCTGAAGCTGCCGAAGCCTTGAAACGTTCAGCCCATGCCGCAGCGGCTGAGATACAAAAGACCGAATATGAAGCCTCAAAGTTGGGGCAGTTGGCAAGCAACAACAACGCTGGGGCTGCTCATCATATGACTTATGCCAAAGATGCGGCCTTTGGTCCCATCAATGCTGGCACAAATCATGTTCCCAATTTGGAGTCGTTGGGTCCTTGGTCAGGTGCCGGCGGCGCTGCTGCCGGAGGAGGAAAGGCTGCCGGTCCAGCTGGTTGGTTGTAAACTTCCAAATCATTTTTGTTTTAATTTTTTTGTGGCGCTGCTGATGATCAGTTGCTTTAGCTATGTAAGCTATATTACTCCATATATATTTAGTTGAATAAAGGCATATTAAAAGGACATCAAGGATGGGGTTTGGATTTGGAAAATGGGGGAGGTATGGAAAACCGAAAAGTGGCCTTGATGGGCTACGGGAATGAGGTCTCTATAAGAAACTGAGCGCTCCAGGGAAAATGAAAAGTGGCTTTGATGTAGCCCATCAATGAAATCTCTATAAAAAACTGAGCGACGCTCAGGGGTTGGAAGAAACGAGAGGTGTACTGGTACTAATGTGCATATAAGGTTAAAGTTTATATCGCAAAGAAACCTAAACAGAGGGGGTAAGTTACCCCCTTGTCCTCTTTTTGTGCAAATTTTCGGATTAAGATTCCTCGGAATCCGTGCTATTTAGGTATATAGTGTCTTCGGCAATATTGCAGTTAATAATACGAGGAATATCCCGGTCGAATATTTTAACCCTCGAGCGAGTCAACAAAGGGGTCTTTTTGGTCCTTTTTTACAAATGTGGTTAAAAACTTCCCTGAAACGGGATCGTAGCAAGTCAAAATATTCTACAAAAATATTTTTCATAAAATTCTGCTATAGGTCCCAGAAGACGTCAAGAGCCTAAATCTTAAATCTTTTGTGAGTTTGTGCAAAAATTTCCCACAAGTCATCATTTTAGAAGGATTACGTCAAAGACAAAAATATTCTTCATCAAATTTTACTATAAGTCGCCAAGGAAAAGAAATCTCTATTTCCAATATTATATTAAAAAAATAATAATAGCCCCAAAAATACCGAAAATATTCCCTAATTATTTTTAATCAATTTTTCACCAGATTTTTTCGAGTTGACGCCTGAAAGTAAAATTAATTTTTTGTGTTGCCCATTGTTATAGTACACAAATCACCACCATATCTCAATTTCAGATACCAACAGACACCTCAATATCAAATTTGAGGATTCTAGACCTATACCTTGACATAATACCAAATTTAGTACCATTTAGTACTTTTTGCACACACATAGGATGCATTTTCAAACCACCACCAAATCTCAACACTAGATACTAACAAAGACCTTAATATCAAATTTCAGGATTTTAGCTCTCTTCTTTCACCAAATACCAAATTTAGTAACATTTAGTACTTTTCGTACACTTATGGTACATATTTCCGAAATTACCTCCATATCTCAATTCCAGATACCAACATAGAGCTTAAAATCAAATTTTAGAATTTAATCTCTATCCCCTACACCAAAACAACATTCAGTACTTTTCGTACAATTATAGTACACAATTCCAAAACCACCTCTCCATTCCAGATACCAACAGAGACTTTAATATCAAATTTAAGGATTCCAGCTCTATCCCTTTACCCAATACTGAATTTAGTACCATTTAATACTTTGCGTACAATCATAGTACACATTTCCGAAATCACCTCTATATCTTAAAGACAGACACCAACAGTGACATCTATATCAAATTTAAGGATTCTAGTTCTATATTTTTATCCAATATCAAATGTAGTACCATTTAGTACTTTTCTTACAAATATAGGACACATTTCCAAAACCACCGCCAAATCTCAACACACAGATACCATCAGTAACTTGAATGTCAAATTTAAGAATTGTATCTTTATCCCTTCACCCAATACTGAATTTAGTACCATTTAATACTTTTTGTACAATTATTGTACACATTTCCATAGTACTCATTTTCGAAATCACCTCTTTATCTGAAAGACATACACCAACAGTGACATCCATATCAAATTTAAGTATTCCAGCTCTATACCTTCACCTAATAGCACATTTAGTACCATTTAGTATTTTTCTTACAAATATAGGACACATTTCCAAAACCACCGCCAAATGTCAACACACAGACACCATCAATAACTTGAATGTCAAATTTAAGAATTGTATCTTTATCCCTTTACCCAATACTGAATTTAGTACCATTTAATACTTTTCGTACAATCATAGTACACATTTCCGAAATTACCTCTATATCAAAAAGACAGACACCAACAGTGACATCTATATCAAATTTATGGATTCTAGTTCTATACCTTCACCCAATATCAAATGTAGTACCATTTAGTACTTTTCGTACTAATATAGGACACATTTCCAAAACCACCTCAAACACAGATACCATCAGTAACTTGAATGTCAAATTTAAGAATTGTATCTTTATACCTTCACCTAATAGCAAATTGGTACCATAATCAGTACTTTTCGTATAATTATAGTACACATTTACAAAATCACACCCAATTCTCAATTCTAGATACCAATGGAGACCTCAATCTCAATTTTAAAAATTCCAGCCCTATTCCTCTACCCAATATTAAATTTAGTACCATTTAGTAATTTTCTTACAATTATAGTACATATTTCTGAAAACACCGCCATATCTCAACACACAGATACCATCAGTAATCTAAATATCAAATTTCAAAATTTTATCTCTATCGTAATGGGTGATAGAGATAAAATTTTGAATATAGTATCATTTAGTACTTTTCGAACAATTATAGTATACATTTACGAAACCACCTCTATATATGTCCACGCTGCATACATGGCCAAATTTCAGATTTCAAATACTGTCTGTTCACCCACTGCCAAATTGTACCAAATATAGTACTATTAGTACTTTTCGTGCTCTTTTAGTACACATTTCGAAAACCATTTCCAAATCTCAATGCAATACGCTAACAGTGGCCCTAAGACCAAATTTCAGATTTCAAGCAATATTTAGTACCATTTGGTACCTTTCGTACATTTGCTGAACGAATTTCCAAACCCAACTCTTTATTCTAACCCTACCCACAACAGCAGTTATTTAACTACTCTTTTATACCCTCAGCCATATGACAATCGGAATAACAGTTTTAGATCCTAGGTTTCTTTGGACCTAATCCGTTTTAGGACATTTGGAGTCGTTTTAGGGATGCCCATCCGTCTGTTTGTCTGGCTTGTGCGCACAATACCTCTCGAAGGGAGTTTCCGACAGTTTCCGTCGACTCCATCAAGTACCTCCCCCACAAAGGGTCAACGTTTTGAATAATTACAAATCTTATAAAATCTGTTGTAAGAGTCTGATTGCCTTCAAATTTCACACATCCCAATATTTTTATAAACCTAAGAACTGATGGTAAGATGGAATTTGTCGGTCCATTCCTTCTGGTATCTCCCCCACAATGGGTCAAAGTTTTGAATATCCATGAAGCCCATAAAACTCGAAATTAACATCCGATTCCATTTAGACTTGGTACATCTGAATATTTCTATCATAACAGGATCTGTTATAAAGACGATAGTGATTGGACCATTTCTTCTGGTACCTCTCTCACAAAGGGTCAAGGATTTGAATGACCAAAACGGTTATAAAGTTCGAAATATGCATCCAGTTCTCTTTATATTTCACACATCCCATTATTTCGACTAACAATAGATCTGATGCGAAGATTGAATGTATCGGACCACTCCTTCTGGTAGGCATCTGATTTTCTTCATATTACACACATCACTATATTTTTATTAACCCAAGGTCGGGTGGGAAGATGGAATATCTCGGTCCACTCCTTCCGGTATATCCCCCACCAATGTTTAACATTTTGACTAAATTTCGCGTTGTATAAGCTTCATTATACAATGCAAAATTAACATCCGATTATTTTCAATCTTGGCATATCCCAATATTTCTGCTAACACAAGATCTGGCATGAGGATGGAATATATCGCGGCACGTTTTCTGGGACCTCCCCCACAAAGGGTCAAAATTTTGTATAACCAAAACGCTTATAAATGCGTAGAAAGCATCCGGTTCCATTCAAATTTCTATTAACACAAGATCTGGTGTGAAGATAATAGATTTCGGCCCACCCCTTCTGATATCTCCCAAACAAAGGGTCAAAATTTTGAATATCCATGTTGCTCATAAAACGCGAAATGAACATCCGATTCTATTCAGATTTGGTACATCTCAATATTTTCCTCAGCACAAGATCTCTTACAAAGATTGTCGGTCATAACTTGCGAAAGAAGTCAGCGATTCTTTACAACTTGCTATATCGTAATATTGCTCTCAACTAGGAACCGGAGATAAATATGGAATTAAGGATTTCGCATGAAATTGGATATAAATGTTCGATTTTCTTGTAATTTATACCAAAAAGGAATACTTCCGTCGACTATATCGGGCACTTTAGGTCCATTTCATCATTTTCTTAAAATTATCACATATCTTATATAAAGTGAAGGAAGTAGTCGATATTTTCCAAACCTGACATTTCGCAATATTTATATCATAATTATTTAGGTCCGATAAGAAATGGACAATATTGGCCCATTCCTCCGGAACCTACTCCATAGAGAGCCAATATTTTGAATAATCATAACAAAAATCAAAACCGACTAATAAAACACAGTTTTTTGTACCTTTTTTGTACCTTTTTTACTTTTTGTACCTTTTTAGCACGAATTTCTCAAATCCACGTATTATCGTCCACTTTTTCACCAAATTTCAGAAGAGTGCGTGTTGTAAGTGAAGTTGTACCTTCTGTTAACTTCATGACCAGATTATGGTACTGTGAACCTCCCTCCATTTTTTCGCCTCTCTTATATATTGTTTAGGATTTTCCGTTTTGTCGATACTTCGTTGTGTAGCAGTGGCCATAAATGTTTGTTTACATTATTCGCCAGCTAAAAAAAACTAAAACAAAAAATTTTAAAAAAGAACAATAAATTCTCGCTGTTTGTCCATCAGCGACAACGTCAGCAGCGCTGCCGCAAACAGACATACCCGTCAACAGATACTGAGCTTGACAACAGCAACAACAAACATATCTACAAAATGAGAAATGAGGTTAACCTACATTTAAAGAAGGTCAAAAACGATCCAAGTACACCACAATGAAATGCACACACACACACAGCCACACACACGCTTACGCTGGCGAGGCACAACGCACACACAGACACAGACACAGCGAGTTAGCTGTAGCTATAGCTGACTATAGTCAGTCAGTCATATGTTCGC